ACCTAACGTGTAACAAGTATTCAATAAATGGTTACTTGAATGAGATGGTGTGTAGTTGAGTGCTCGGGCCCTGGAGCTGGCTCCTTGTTCTCAAATCTTGGCTATGTTGTTTACTAACTGTGTGTCTTTGGGCAAGTTAGTTAACTTCTCTATGCTTTTTTTTTTCTTTTTCAGCTTAAAAGAGGGCTATAAAGGTAACTATTTCATAAGATGATACATAAAAGGCATGTCAGAATTTATGACTGTTACTATTATTGCTGGAGGCTCTTAGGGAAGGAGGATGTTACAGATTGAATCACATCCTCCAGAGAAGATATAATGTAGCCCTAACTTCACCCAGTACCTCAAATGTGATTCTATTTCCTTATTTGGAGGTAAGGTCTTTCCAGAACTAATCAAGTTAAAGTGAGGTCATTAGGGTTAGCCCTAATCCAATATGATGGTGTCCTCATAAAAAGGAAAAATGTGGACACACACACACATACACACACACACAGAGTCACACAAAGATGAAGGCAGAGATCTACAAGCCAAGGAATGCCAAATACTGCAAGAAAACCACTGGAAACTAGGCGAGTGGGGTGGAACAGATGCTTTCTCACAGCCCTCAGAAGAAACCAGCCCCCGACTCCTTGATCTCAAACTACTAGCCTTGTTTAAGCCACTCAACTTGGGGTTCTTTGTTCTGGCAGCCTTAGCAAACTCGCACAGAGGGGCCGTGGGAACCAGCAGCCCACATCCTTCTTTGGTGACTGCACACTGACCGTGGATTCCTGGCATCCAGTTGTACTCTTTGAGCTTCCATCTCTTCTGCATACCTCATGCTCCTGGCACATTTTTGAACGGTTATGCCAGGTCCAGGAGCCCAGGACCCCACAGGATATTTTGTGACAAGGCAGTAGTCTTCAAGATAAAACTCAGTGACCTTGACATCAACTATTCTATTCTCAGATCTCCAAGGTAAACCTGTTGGACAAAAGTGTCTAAGCCTATTCCCAGTCATAAATGTGATATGTAATTCCTGCAGCACTGATAAAGGTTAGCCTGATCCTCCATAACTCCCTTCACTTATTCTCGTAGAGAGCCGTCCTCTAAACTGTGTCTGGAGCACAAGCTATGTGTGTCACTTTCCCCCCTACAGTACATAATTAATGAGCTGTCAGCATATTAATTGGAAAAGTTTGGCCATAGAAATCAGGAGACCTGGCTGAGTGCGGTGTCTCACACCTGTAATCCCAGCACTTTGCGAGGCCAAGGCAGGTGGATCCCTTGAGATCAGGAGTTTGAGACCAGCCTGACAGAGATGGAGTTTCGCCTGACATAGCTGGGCATGGTGGTGCACACCTGTAATCCCAGATACTTGGGAGGCTGAGGCAGGAGAATTGCTTGAACCCGGGAGGGGAGGCTGTAGTGAGCCAAGATCACGCCATTGCATTCTGGCCTGGGCAACAACAGCGAAACTCGGTCTCAAAATAAACAAACAAACAAACAAATAAACAAACAAATAAATAAATAAAAGAAATCAGGAGACTTGAAGTCCAATCTTGATTTCAGAGTAAGATTAAAGCAGAATACTATATGCCTCACTATAAATGATGATCTAGTTCAGATTTTCTCTTTATGCCTTAGGAGAAAAGTGATTTTCAGTTAGAATAAATCTGAAGTCAGCCCAGGACGTGTAGAAAAAACGCAGTATCAGCCGGGCATGGTGGCTCATGTCTGTAATCCCAGTACTTTGGGAGGCCAAGGCGAGTGGATCACCTAAGGTCAGGAGTTCGAGACCAGCCTGACCAATATGGAGAAAACCCGTCTCTACTAAAAATACAAAATTAGCCGAGCGTGGTGATGCATGCCTGTAATCCCAGCTACTTGGGAGGCTGAGACAGGAGAATTGCTTGAACCTGGGAGGCAGAGGTTGCAACGAGCCGAGATTGCACCATTGCACTCCAGCCTGGCCAACAAGAGCAAAGCTTCGTCTCATAATAATAATAATAATAATAATAATAATAAGAAGAAGAAGAAGAAGAAGAAGAAAAAAGAAAAATGCAATATAAGATGCCTCTCTGTCTCCAAATCAGTCCGTCAGGTTTTTCCTTCTCCCAGTCCTCCCCACACTTTTTCTAATAATAGAATATTTTCTGTCTAAAGAATAAATCAGCTTCTAACCACCCAGTAAGAGCCACATGGTTTGTCTTTTAGAGGCTTGGAAGAAGATCATGCTGTTTCCATCTTGGGAGTCTGTGATATGAGCCATAGGACACAATATGGTTGCCTAGTGGTAACCCTTGTCCTGGGATGACACTGGGTGTTAGGTTGTAGCCTGAAGCTTTCAAAGAAGAATCTCCATAGCTAGGAATGTATATAAACCAGTGCACAACTGGTTTACACAAAGGGAACTTAAAAAATTGCTGCCCATGTGGTTTGTTTAGGGTTCTTATAGGTAAACACAAGGAACTTGCTACAAAAGCTCTCCTCTTTATTCATGAATTTGTGAGCACATATTATGCTTTTTTGATAGATAATTTTTTTCTTGGGACTTTAAAAAAATCATAGCAGCTGGTAGCCTTCTGTGTTGTTTTATTGCTTACATCCAGCGAGAGCATAAGGCAGGATACAGATTGTTATGTGTTGTCCTAGACTTCCGTTTGCAATAAGGAGCATACACAATGCCATACCAAAGTGAGTTTATTGACATTCCTTGAAGATGGTGTGATGGAAGAGAAAGCGCGGCCTGAGTATCACGTGACATTTCTCTTGTTGATGTAAGCAAAATCAGCCCAGTAACGTGGACTTCTCCTGCTATTGACTAGAACAGACTTTTGAACAAAATTGTTGTAGACATTTCCTTAGATAAATTGGAAGCTGCAGGAAGTAGGCTAAAGGAACAATATTTACTCTATATACTACCTCTAGGCACCTTTTTTTCTACTAGAACAAAGGGACTACGTGTCGCTAACAGGAAAATAACACTTTCTCTTTTGGACCATTTATGATGGCTGGAACATCCATCCCAGATTTGTATGATATAGTATTGCAGTAGTTTTAATAATGAACACTGAAGTACGTAATAATAATAATAATAATAAAGCACCACATTTGTTATGTAAAGTTCTAACTACTTTCATTTGAAAGTGTTTCATCTTGACTGGGAAAATATTTGTGGTAATTGAGAAATTTCTGAACCCAAATTTTGGACACATGGTTTGACACATGGACTGACAATATGATGGATGTAATATTAAAACTATCCTGGAAAACTCAGCCATTGGCTTGCCACACAAATATACTTACTGTTCAAGGACATATGGTCATGTATTAAAAGAAAATTTAGGTCTTGCATGTTTAACGTTTGCTCCCCCAAATCATATGTCTCTTTTTCTTAATTTTTTCACCACTCTCTAGGCATCTTCACAACCTCCAGTAATTTATATACATAAGAAATTACAAAGAGTTCAGTAGATTTAGAATACTTCTCCTGACCCCACAGAGTCAATTTCCATTTTTAGGATTATCATCTTCACACTGTAGGATAAAACATTTGTGATATCCATGGAATTATTATTATAACACTTTATAGATTTTTAAAAGCATTTTTCGAAGGTTGTAACATAAATCTTCTCTTATTTATTGCTCTTGTTTGTCTCCTGATTAAAGGTGTTACACTCTTACTAAAACCAAATCTAAAAGATCTTGTTTTAGGGAGATTGTGGCTTATAAATTTATAAGTGATTAATTTTGCAATTTGCCTCCATGGAGAAAACTCATGCTTAAAAAAAAATTACAGGTGGTAACAAATAGATCTGTCTGCCGAACTACATAATTTAGGGTGGTTTACACCTCCACGTAAGTGAAATTTAGTTCTATAGCTATTTCATTTCATATACACATTGAATGAAAAATTATATATAATTTAAACATCAGCCTTATAAATAAGGTAAACATGAATTTCCATAACTTGTTTCTGTGTTCCTCTTCTCTTTGTTTTTCTTCCTTAAGGATTCTATGCAAGGTTGCAATAAAGTATTACAAGCTTCATCTTCTTTCAGGTGACCGTGACATCAGCATTTCTTCATGAAATTTTGCATTTTTGTGAAATAATGTTCCTGTTATGCTTTGTGGGATAGATCTAGAGCTGTGACATCAGCAGTGCTGGTGGATAAGGAAATGTTAGTTGAAAAATCATGTATGCCAAAGTTACCTATCTATATATAATATCTGAGATACTGCATTCTTTTTGTATATGGTTAGAATAGATATTAATTAATCTAATTAATAGATTAATTCGTTATTTATATAAATTGTAAAGCTCTCCAGGAGCCGGTCCATCTTGTAAACAGCTTTCTCCCTTTCCAATGCCTGACAAATAATGTAAGTACTAGAAAGAGACTGTTTGAATTAATGAGTATTTACATATGTATAATACCAAGTCCTAAAGATAAAAGATGCCCCTATATTAGAGATGCTGTTGCAAGAGTTAGAATAAGGGTATGGTTCAATTATTTGCATAGTCCTTATGTTCTGATTTCATAAATAAAATAATAGCTCCATTGGAATCCATTATTTTTCAGATGCTGAATGTGTACTGAATTTCACATATCCCTCAAATTCTTTATCATATAACTTACACATTCCATCCTGTCTCAGTAAATTCTTTTTAGACAATAAAAGGCTAAATTTCTATAATGTATACTCCTTGATTGACACCGGACACATCGCTGCAAGGGGTGCTGGGCATTGTAGATACTTCCTACTAAAAGAATGCTTCTATTTTTATTTATTTATTTTTGAGATGGAATCTCCCTCAGTCACCCAGGCTGGAGTGCAGTGGCACAATCTTGGCTCACTGCAATCTCTGCTTCTCGGGTTCAAGTGATTCTCCTTCCTCAGCCTCCCAAGTAGCTGGGACTACCGGCGTGTGCCATCACACCTGGCTAATTTTTGCATTTTTAGTAGAGATGGGCTTTCACCATGTTGGTCAGGCTTGTCTCAAACTCCTGACCTCAAGTGATCTCCCCATCTTGGCCTCCCAAAGTGCTGGGATTATAGGGATGAGCCACCGCTCCCGGTTGGAATGCTTTAGAGTGTAGGAAATACAAATAACACACTGTCCAGACACAAACTGGTATAATGAGCCACTAGGCCTGGCTTCTTAGGAAATTCACTTCGTCTTACATTTCTCCCTTGTTTTAATACGGAAAACAATAATGTGACATTTAAATAGTCGGGTCTCTTGAGCTCTTCTTTTTCCCAGTGAAGAAAAACACTTTCATTTATGACCTATTTCAGACAACATGGATAACAACGTTAGAAAAATAGCAAATGACCATTATGGTTGGGTTTATTTCAAATGTAATTGAGAGGTTAGGCTGTCTTTGGAGCCTGCAACTGTTTTTCTGACAACCTGAAGTTTTCTGAGATATGTTTTCACTGAATGCTAAAAGAAATTGGATATTTATTTTGACACAAATCAACGTGCCTTTGGGGTGTTACGTTTCTGCCCCAGGAGGATTACTATGGGTGAAGGAGAAGTACTGTGTTGCCCTTGATCCCTAACAAGCACCATCACTCTTTGCAGCTTCCTAGTGTGGTCCCGATGGACAATCGAATGTAAAGGAACTTGAACTCCATGATTAAGAAAGGAAAAGGAAAAAAGAAAACGTGAAAAAAACCAATATCAAAGTTTAAAAAAAGAAGGGTTTGTCTGCCAAGCAAACAAAAGTCATGGCTTTAACAAAAGTCATGGTATCATCTACACATTTTGTTTTCCTTTATGAAGAACTGTGGCTAGACTAAACAAAATAGAACAGTACAGAACTCAGGGATTCAAACCAAGATAATATGTCCTTCTTCCCTTTCTCCAGTTGGCATTGCCACATTCTACACAAGACAATGGGGGCTGAAGCCTCATCCTTCATGCTACATCAATCAAGAAGGTTTCTTTCTTGGACATGTGCACAAGTTTGTCCTTCTTGTGGTGTGAGTATTCACTAGCAATGCTCCCCTTCCTAAACTTCTCTTGAGTTGAGCCCACAATCCCCGCAACCATTGGGATGCGATGTGTTTTCTTGCTGTTGTTAATCGTTGGGAGTGTCATATTTGCACCGTGTGTCTAGGCTAGTTCCGGCTGATGGGACTGATGCCACATGTGAATCATGAGTTGAATGTATAAAAATTTCAGCTTTGCCACTGTTGTCCTTTGGATGGATATTATGCACAGGGAAAAGTAGATAGAGAGGAAAACAAAGAGTTGATCAGCTCCTAGTTCTGGAGTTGGTTGTTAGAAATTATAAAAAATGGTGGCTCTGCTCAGAAGACATGGGCATATAAAAGCTTGGAGTGCTTAACGCTCACATTTTCCCTTAAATGATAGAAATGGAAGTAAACATTTATTACCATTTGGTCAAGTGTAGCTTAACTTGCATTCATATTTCATTGTTAGTAATGGAGGTATGTGGAGATATACACAGACCTTGAGACAGCTGTTTTTTTAATATTGCATACAGGCTAGCAGTTCATTGAAAACAGAGGAGAGAAGCCTGAAGGTTAGATCTTAGAAGAAGGCAGTTCTTCATGCACAGCTTTTGTCAATCCTGATTTGGTTTGAAAATAAAAATCATGGAATACCAAAATCAAAGGAGAGTTGATTAAGGGAAAGGGAAAAGGGGATCATCCCAGGAAGGGTGATGTCACTGGCCAGGAAAATGTCAGGCGAGGTTCCATGTCCTCACTCAAGTCCAAAGGTGCTGGTTTCCTCTACTGCTGTTAACAGCTTTTCATACAACATGGAGTACGAGGGATACGGTGGAAGATCCAGTCGGTTGAAGCATGTGTGTGCCCTGAATGGGGAGAAGAGATCGGTGAGAGTGTTTGTTTCGATACAACTGGTTCTGGATCTGTGACTGTCTGAAGTTGTGATTCAAAAGGGAATCAAAAGTGAGCAGGACTGTGATTCAGGACCACCATAAAACATTGCACACTAAAGAGCCATATTCCTGTAGAATGAACAGACCGGTGGAAGGAATGGAATAACTAAAAATGGGTTGTTTGCATTTGCAAGCAAACCAACTACACTAGAATGACACTAGCAAACTGATTATAAACTCTATGGTATCAGCCTGATTTGCAATTGCGTTATAAATTTTGATGTGGTCGATGAAGGAGGCAGAAATATAATTAGTATTGAAGGATTATATTCCTAAGTCTTCTTGCCCAGCTCTGATTTCTGAGCCTCTGTGAACCACATGCATCTATTTAGAGGAACTTGAGATGGCCTGGAATTCTGAGATCCAGTTCTCCATTCAAGTCAAGTGTGCGCTGGAGACAAGTCTGACTCCTCTACCCCAGTAGAACCCACAGAACCTAAAGCTGAAGTGCTACATTTCCAAGAAAAGCTGCCCATGTGAGCCAGTCCTCCCCGGATGCCTGGAGAGTCCTGGCACCCAGGGTTCTAGTTTGCTTCGTGTGTTTCCTCCTGCATGGCCAGTGTCTGCCTTAGACAAGGAATGTCTTCCTCGCCAGAGGCTAACACCTGGACCTGGAAGACTCATGTGGGTCTCCAGCAGTGGGTACAAGAAGCCCAGTACACATAGATCCCTTGCTGTGGAGCCTTGAATCACCTGACTAGCTGCTCCCTGCCAGTAGTTCTTTGTTTCTACAGAATCTTTGGCTGATGCTGAGCCTGTACCATAGTAGGGAGAAAGGTGGATGGGTGCAGGTGAAAGTTCATTTCCTGCCTTTTCCTCCCTAAGAGTAGTGTGTTGCAATGGTGTTTTGAGACACCAACCAGCACAGAAAAGGGCACTCTAAAATCAAACCAAATCAAATCACAAAACAAACATACAAAGAAACAAACAAAACTAAACTCTCTTCATTAGAGTTTTATTTGGGATATTAAACTCTTCTTTTCATTACAAGATCCCTAGGGGACTTGTGTATTATTCACACCTTTGTTTTAAAGTATATAAATCAGAGTATCAGATCACTGCCCAGGCTGATGCAGCACTCAGGTTATGGGGGGAGATTATTTTGGGAATGAGGAAGATGGGAAGAGGAAAGGGGGAAGGTGGGGCTTCCTGCCCAGCGAGAATCTAGGGAGGATGCTGGTGTTTTCGTCTGCCCAGCACCCATTCCTCCTCCTGGCAGTCCTTGGGGAACTTCCCTAACCCCTACCTCCCTCCTCCCTGTCCCATCCCCGCTCAAACTCCAAAGGCAGGCATAGGGTAGTAGAGTGTCTGGTCTTAGGCCTTAAAGACATAATTGGGAAGAAACATATGAATAGAGATTAGCAGAATTCTTAGACTGTTATCTAAGATTCATACAGGCCTTCCTTTACTTTAAAAGAAAATAATTGAAATACTTTATCTAGGTGTAAATATTTGAGTGAAAGGGAACTCAGTAAATCGACTAGGATGATTACAGTGATTTCTCTCTATGTTAAGAAGATTGCAATGAAACTAGAACATACATTGGGCTATGGCTAAACAGGCGAAGTAGGGCAGAGAAATCCCAAGCATGCTTTTGGAACTAGCTGAATTAGCCAGGGGCGAGATAGGAGCAGGCATCATCTTCGTAGTTTTCTTCCTCTGGTCATTTTAACTGGCACTCATGAGTGGAAATATTACAGAAAAAAAAATCATCTTTACAAATTAGTTGGAACCAAATTAATTCTGTAAAAGATCATTTCTGGGAGTAAACAGAAAGCATTGGTGAATAGCACCTAGTCTGAACACCCACGGTTTCCTTACTAGTTGTTTTTATTGCATTTATTTAGAGCCTTGGTGAACTCCCTTAGTTTGTCATCTAGAATGAACGAACACAATCAAATCATGATCCAATTCAGCATTCCTAAGAGCTCGCCATCCTCCAGGTGTGGTTCTGACAGCACCGAGTGCCGCTTACCTCATTCCTGTGCACCAAACCAAGCATTGCCCGGTGGTGTGGGGCAGTGGACAGCAAGAAACCAGGGCTTGGAAGACCTCTATGCTGATCCCAGTCTAGCCACTTACCAGCTTTATGACTCTGGAAAAGTCAGTTAATCTTCCTGAGCCTCAGTTTTCTCACTTGTAAAGTGGGGATAATAATATATGCTGCGTGCACCTCAGAGGGTTATGGGGAGGATCAACGCTAGAACACACGTAAATGCGTTTTGTAACCTGTGAATCATCATTTAAACATAAGATTCTCTTAATGCAACCATGATTGTGATAATGATTTGGGGAACTGTGTCATACTTGTGGCAGCTGAAGCCTCTGGGGTTTTGCACGTGACTTACTGGCAGGTGACTCACTCTTTTCTCACACTTGGTACGACGGATGTTTTGGAGATCCGCACGGGTCTTTCAATTGTGTCGAATTCCACGCCATTGGTGTCAAGCTAGGGTTCCAGCATTTTGAGATAATTTTGGATTGGGTTATGCCAATCCCTGTATTGTTTATCCTTCTAACTGTGTCATCTACACAGTTGATCTCCCTGTCTCCTCTATTTTTTCCAAGTTATAGATTGAAATGTTAACCAACATAGGACCAAAGAAAGTCTTGCTCCTCTCTACTAGAGACCACTTTAAGGTTGGCTAGAAACACACAAAAGAGGCAGCAGTCACTCCTCTTTGCTGCCAATTGTTCAGCCGGTTATGTAAGCTGTGTCTTCCTTTCATGCCAATCTTCTTCTACTGCCTAACTATAGCCTTGTTCTCTTCAGATAGGCCTTGCTCTCTTCCTTGCTAAATTTACTTTTTCAAGTTTGTCAGTAACCTCTTGATCCCTAAATCCAGAAGCCTATACTCTACTCCCTCCTGCTCCAGCTCTTTAAAAGCATTTGACAGCTCTTCCTCTGGAACATCTTCCTCCTTGGCTTCTCTTTGGTTTCTCAATGGCTGCCATTTTCTCTGCTGAGCTCCCTGATGGCACCCTCAGGCCTCCTTTGTAGGTCCTCTTCTGGCCTTAGGTACTAGAGAGCAGCATTTTTCAGCTTGGCACGATTCACTTTTCAAACTGGATAACTCTTTGTTGTGGGAGTTGTTTTGTGCATTGTGAGATGTTTAGCAGCATCCTTGGCTTCTACTCAATAGACACCAGTAGCACCCCTTCCCCTCAACCAAAAATGTCTCCAGACATTGTCAACTGCCTCCTGTGGGGGAAGAGAGGCAAAGTCGCCTTCCCTAGCCCCACCTTGAGAACCATTGCTACAGAGTAAACCAACTACTAACTTAACCAGGCCTCCAACTCCACCCCGGGCCTGGGCTCAGTTTACATCTGCAGTGAAACATGTTCATATTAGAATTTCGTTTGCAACTTTTAGGCCAGTTAATTGCCTAAATGACTCATAGCTTTGATATCCCTGGTCCCTGCCCCAAAGGTAAACCCAAAGATTCTCCCCTCTCCTTTGTTCTGTCTCCACACCGCCCAGTGCTACTTTGACTCTGACCTAGCTTCTGTGCTTCTCTTTCCTTCCAAGCCTTTCCTCTGTCCTCCTTTGAGCTCTTGTTCAAAGTAAAGAAACTTTGCCACCTCCTTAAGCTCTTTCCAGATGTTGCCTCCAGGTCCTAGTGTCCCCTTTCCAGTCCTCATGGGTGGAAACTGCTCACTGCCCCACACGCTGTGATGTGGATGGACATTCTTCACACTCCCTGCTGTCAATTCCATGTCATGACTTTGCAATCCTTGATCAGTTTCCATTCCTTTGAATCTCATGTCATTTAGATAATTTATTTTTAAAACCATAGGTTTTGGCTGGCATTTCATTTTAATGAAATAGGATAGAGTAGAAAATAGATTTTATTGCAGATAATAAGGGTAAAGTGCTGTTTTGAGGAACTTGAGTTTCAGATATACACACACATACGTGCAAATGAGTACATGTCCTGAGTTGTGATATAAAAGGCATTTCTTTCTGTGGACTATGGTTTAAAAAGCTTGAAAATAAGTGATCTAGATAGATCTTTGGTTCCTTCTGACCCTCTGAACTTCTAACTTACTATAATTATTATCTGGCACTTTGCTTAAGTCTTCCTTTCCATTTCAAGTCCTCCTACCAGACTGTGTGGCAACTAAGTCCACAGGGCTGACAGGGTGAACACCCAAATCCCCAGTTCCTTGACCTCAACTCCAGTGACAGTCCTGCCTCTCATCTACTTCAACTATGAAATTATATCCCAGAAGCCCCTACCCTCAAAGTCATTTCTCCTGACCCTCACACATCTTTTAGCAGGCAGGGACTTGGATTGACACAAAGGTTTTATGTAGCCTGGGCTATGACCGGGTTTTGCTGTGGCGGTGTCTGGTGCTCTCATCTGGGAAGCCAGTTGTCTTTCCTTTCTGCAGAGGGAAGACCTGAGGAAAGAGCTGAAGGCCGCCTCTCCCAGAATTCAGGCCACATGCACTGTGGCTCGCAGTACCTGGGAAGCCCATGCCACCCGGGGTCTGCTTTGCTTCGTGCCTGCTCAGGGCTTCCTGCCACCTGCCATGGCCAGGCCAGGTCTTCCTGAATGACAGTTTCTGGAAGTCAGAGGTTCTTTCCTTCTATCCACACATAGATGACATTTTTTTACGTTCTTGGATCTTCAGACACTGTCCAAGGGAGACTGGACAGGGGTCACTATTTAGGGGGTTATTTTCAGTGTCCTCTTAGAGGCATTTGCTTCTTGTCCAAAGAAGAGGTCCCTGCTTCCCCAAGAAACCATCTCTGGGGCTTGTGGTGCAGCAGCCCTCTTAGGGATGCCTTGGTCCAGATATGAAGAATCTGTTCATAAGCCCAGTGTCTGCCTTAGAAGTTCTCTGTGTGGGTTAATAATATTAATGCATATTTCAAAGCTTCCAAAGCAAATACAGAAATTACATTCAATCTGTGACCCCAGATAACAGAGGCAATGACTCCCATTTCCTAAATAATAGAGACTCCTCAGCACAGTCTTTTCTTTTTTCTTTCTTCTTCTTTTTTTTTTTTTTAAATTTAATTTGATACAGGGTCTCACTCTGTTGCCCAGCTGGAGTATGGTGGTGCAATCACAGCTCACTGCAGCCTCGGCCTCCTGGGCTCAAGTGATCCTCCTGCCTCAGCTTCTCAAGTAGCTGGGACTAAGGGTGCATGCCACCATGCCCAGCTAAGTTTTTAAATGTTTTGTAGAGATGAGGTCTTGTCATGTTGCCCAGGTTGGTCTTGAACTCCTGGGCTCAAGCAATCCACCTGCCTAAGCCTCCCACAGTGCTAGGATTACAGGCATGAGCCACTGCGCTCAGCCAGCAGGGTCTCTGCTTGTGGCTCACCAAACGTTTTCTCAACTGCATCCCCTGTGATGATGTTCCGGGCATCTTACCCTCTGCACTGGCCGGCCGCACCTTCCTGAACATGTGCTGCCATTCCCTGCTGTCAGACCTTGCATGTGCTATTGCTTCAGCCTGGAAGGCCCCTTCTCCCTATTCCTCATCTCCCAATGTTCCCCTAAATGCCAGTTTCTTTGTGGCATGTTCTCTAGGCAACTCGATTAGGAGTCTCTGTTTCACACTCTCGCAGCATGCTGCTCTTCACCCTGTGCTCCTCTGATTCTACCTTGTGCTGTGATTAGTTACTATCAGGCCGTGTTCTCCCTAGATTGCCGGTTCCCACGGGCAGGTGTGTGGTTGTAGCTCAGCCCCTCCTCAAGCTGCATGCTGTAGGGGTAGGCTATCATCAGTGATGACTCAAGCTGCATTTCTCTAAAATAAAAGCAAGATGTTTCCAAATAACTATATTATTGAAATCTATCATTCAACTTAACAAATGGAAATTCTGCCTTTTTAGTCTTCTTTTCTTGCCAGACTTAAATTCACTAGGTTTAGCTATTGGTGGAGCCATGCAAACAAGACAGACCCTTGGAGCTGAGGGTCTGCTGAACGGCGTGGGTGAAGCCAGGGCTGAAGCCTGCACCAGGGTGTTCAGCTGTGGTTAACCAGCTGGGCACGCCCACGAATGCTGACTGACACCAGGCGAATTGCCCTCGGGGAAAATCTGGGAACGCTAGATGAAAGCTATAGTCCAGTAAATCCTTCTGCAATAAGGATTTAGCAAAAGTGTCTGGGTGGCCATGTAGAAATAGAGCTGAGTTCAATGCAAAGCTTCTTTATAATTAGAACGTATCCTATTAACAAAAGATAATAGGGGTCCATCTTTTCTTCTGTCTGTTGCAGCAGCGTTTCTCACTACAGCGCTATGCACCACTGTCTCTTCAGTGCTTCCTGATTAGGAATGCACTACCCAAAGCGGCATAGAAAGGATTCAGGAAGTGCTGGGATTAAAACTCACAGTGCGGGGAATTTCTTCTGTAAAACTGCCTGGAGCCCCAGTGTCTCCTTTTTCACATTTATCCCACAATAGATGTGCTTTCTAAATAGAAGTCACCATAGAGACCCAGAGATACGTGTGGTCTCATCCCCACATGTTTTAAAACTTGGTAGGAAAAATCCGACACATCACACATATATAATGATCCTATGAAGTATTAAGAGATACGCTGCAGAAGTACCGATACGATGCTCGAGGCGTTACTTCCAGGTTCCAGCTTTTTTATATTAATGTCCTTGCCTCTGCCCTCTCCTGTGTGAGACATTCATCTTTAAATTAAGTTGGGCTGTGAGAGCATCCCATGACTGACACATGGACCAAGATATTACCGCTGAAATACCATCAGTCATCAAAACCTCCCTAAGAATAATATAGTTTCAATCCAAGTCTCACAGCTACCTCACCTTCACCTTTCCCTAATAACTGCCATGACAATACTTTGGGTGACCAGAAAGAATTCCATCCCAAAGGATGGTCACTCAAAATCAAATAGCAAAGTATACTTTGCCCTCTTCAGCAGGTTTCCCCGAAGGCTGGCAGGAGCTCTGTACCTGGGGAGAGAGGTAATTTTCCCCCATTTCTCTATGCAGAAGCGCCGAAGCCCATTGCTCCCACGGAGGGCTGCGAAGCCTTCGTAGGGCACGCTGGATGTTCCCGTGACAAACTGCAGTAATCTCAGCCTCTGCTCATTATTGAAGCGCTCCACTGCGGCCCAGAACCAGCGGATCACAAGATGCCCATCGTGGTAACCTGCACGAGGCAAAGGGAGGGAGGAAGACAGGATGCGGAGAAAAGAGTAAGGGGTGAGGAGGGGGAGAGAGATCAAACACATCAGGTATGATAGGAACGGAATCGCGGTTTTTGATCTGATTTCTCTCATGATGGCCTTTAGAGAGGTCTAGAACAATTTGTGCAACTAGGTCAAGTTTTAGAACAAGAGTAGATTTAGAAAATAGTCATTTTATAAAAGGACTTTATGTTCTGAGGGATGCTCTCAGAGATGTCTGCTTTCTATTTAAACAACTGGGACTCCACTTAAAATGCCCCTGCCTGATATAGGTGTAGATAAGGAATAGAATGGCCTGGTAGAGACCAAAGGGCCCATGAACACAATATTGCATCATGTTTCCTTTGTTCTGCTGTCTTAGCTCTTGGCAACCACATACCACGGGAGAGTCTAGGACTTACCAGTCCAGGCTGGAGGTGAACAGCCAGTTTGGTGAACAGGAGATCCCAGGCTCTCCCCTTGAGCAGCTGCTCTCAGGCCAGCCCTGGGTGGATACATGCTGGGCCCATGGATTAAGTACTGGGTCCCTCTCACAGTAAACGGGGGAGACCATGCTTGGATATATCAATTAAATGATTTGCCATTGACTGCAAATGCAAGAGGCATTCAGAGAGAGAAGAAATTCATGTGTGCCAAGGTAGAAGCAAGGAAAGCTTCAGAAAGGAAGTGAAGCTACGAGCAGTGTGCGAAGGGCTTGTGCAAGTGGAGGGAAGGAGGAGGACATTCCTGGCAGGAAAAATAAAGAATAACAAGAATGAGGAGGAAATATGCAGGCAACTGTAAGCCACTGGAGTAGAGGCGTGTCTGGTGAAGGCAGGAAGGAATATTTCTGGGGGGTGTTATGGGGCTTTAACAGCCTGGCAGAGAATTTTTTTTGAGATAGAATCTCACTCTGTTGCCCGGGCTGGAGTGCAGTGGCACAATCTCGGCTCATTGCAACCTCTGCCTCCTGGGTTCAAGGGAACCTCCTATCTCAGCCTCTTGAGTAGCTGGTTCTACAGGCATATGCCACCACACCTGGCTAATTTTTGTATTTTTTTTACAGGTGGGGTTTCACCAGGCTGGTCTTGAACTTGTGAGTTCAAGCAATCTGCCTGCCTCGGCCTTCCAAAGTGCTGGGATTAAAGGCAGGAGCCACCATGCCCAGCAAGGCAGACAGCGGTTTTCATACTATACCAGTTTTGTAATATAAGAGGCTTTGCGGGGCTAAGTGTACTGGGGACATGAGGGAGGCTGAGGTGATGCCCCTAGCTCACTCTCTACTGCATTGATGGATTTCTCTGTGGTATTTTAAATGAAGAGTTTTGAGGCTAACAAAACCCTTCAAATCTAGAAGTAATAAGGAACTTGTTTTGTGGGTAGGGAAGTGGCCCGATGAAAGCAATGTTTCAGGAAGACAGGTCTGGCAGTGTGCAAGGTGAGTAGTTAGGAGGGGTTAGACATTAGCTTTAGTGATGGCCACGGTTAGAACCGTGTTCTGGCAAACTAGGATCGAGGTAGAGAGGGCTCCAATTCTGCAGGAAATGAGACACCCTTCGCTGGAGGCACGCATGCCGCTCAGGAGCTGGGTCCTGGATGGAATGTTCTCTGTAAGCCTCTATACCAAGTTAGGCCAGAGACTCGACCAATATGAGGAGGATGTCACCTGAAGGAAAGTTCAGGTTGGGAGTTGGAGAAAGGCATGTACAAACTCCTGCTTAGTACTGAAGTAAGGCCAAGCTTTTTGTAGTCTTCAAAAAGTGATGAATTATTATTATTATTATTATTATTTTTTTGAGACAGAGTCTTGTCTGTCGCCCAGGCTGGAGTGCAGTGGCCGGATCTCAGCTCACTGCAAACTCCGCCTCCCGGGTTTACGCCATTCTCCTGCCTCAGCCTCCCGAGTAGCTGCGACTACAGGCGCCCGCCACCTCGCCCGGCTAGTTTTTTGTACTTTTTTTTTTAGTAGAGATGGGGTTTCACCGTGTTAGCCAGGCTGGTCTCGATCTCCTGACCTCGTGATCCGCCCGTCTCGGCCTCCCAAAGTGCTGGGATTACAGGCTTGAGCCACCGCGCCCGGCCAAAAAGTGACGAATTATTTATACATGCAATGGAATGTTATTCGGCTATAAAAAGGAAAAAAATAATGAAACATGCTACGTACAACATGGATGAACTTCAAGTAGGTTAAGTCAAAGAAGCCAGACACAAAAGACCACATTTTGTATGATTCTATTTATATGACATATCCAGAACAGGCAAATCCATTGAGACAGAAGGCAGACTGATGGTTGCCAGGGGTTGGGGGAAGGGGGCGTAGGAGTGAGAGCAACTGCTTAATGGGTACAGGGTTTCCTTTTGCGGTGATGAAAATATTCTGCAAGTAGCTAGAGGTAATGGTTGCACAACACTATGAATGTACTAAATGCCACTGACTTGTTCGCTTTAGTCAATTTTATTTTACATCAATTTCACCTCAACAAAACAATCTTTTGGAAAGTGCTGAGTTCTATTTGTGATAATTATATCATCACAGCTTCTGCCCACTCACCTCCCCGGTACTCGGTGTTATTCCGCCAGTCATTTAGGTCGATTTCCGCGGTGCCAGCTATCACCAGCTCCAGCTCCCTGGCATCAAACACGGACACCAGCCTCGAGTCTACAACCTGAAATGCAGGTTAGGCTTCAGTATCCAGGTCCAAACACGTGGAAAGGCTATGTTCATTATTATATTTATGTGGGTTAAACTGGGAAACTCACCATCACTGGCAATACTTTCTTTCAGTCTACAATCATTTTTAACTCAGAAATTATTGCTATGATCTGAATGTTTATATCCTTTTCCTTCCCCAAATTCATATGTTGAAATCTTTACCCCGGAGGGCATTGTATTAGGAGGTGGGGACTTTGGGGGGTGATTCGATCACCAGAGCTTCATGCTTTTATTAAACAGGCCCAAGAGATACCTCGTGTCCCTTCCTTCATGAAGACACAGGGAGAAGGTACCATCTATGAACCAGAAGGTGGCCCCTTAGCAGACACCAAATCTGCTGGTACCTTGATCTTGGACTTCCCAGACTCCAAAACTGTGAGAAATAAATGACTGTTGCTGTAAGTCACCCATCTCACAGTATTTTGTTACAGCAGCTCGAACGATGATCATTGACTTCAATATTTTAGAACACAAGCCTTCATAAGCAGGGAACAGAAAAAAGAATCCCATGCTCCACCCCTAATGCTCCCTCTCAGAATGATTTTGTAAACAAATCTGACTCGACTTTCTGCAGTCACATTGAAATTTTCAAATAACATTGCATTTTAAAGGCAAAAAGTCCACATCACTTTGAAGGACTTAGTAGCTATTAGTATTACTATTTCACTTAAAATGTAGTCTTTCACATGCAATTATGACTTATTTCCTAAAATTTAGCATTTGTATTAAAACGACTGCATTTTCCATCCCTTCTCAAACCAGGACCCTAAGATTAAGAGCCTCATGCTCACTGGACTGAGCTAGCTGGGTGCAAATTTGTCTTTTCCTTCCCGTCTTCTCTCACTTCTTTCCTCCCTCCTTAGATATCTGGGAAGACTTGTTTTGTTAGGGTTCTGCATTCTGACTTTGCATCTCGGGTGAAATGTACCAGGCACAACTGAGGTCCTGTGGTGAAACCTCCTCTAATCAAACCAGAGGTGGACGAGACCATGGCCAGTGCACTACTCCATTCTGGCAGGGAAGGAGAGCCTTCCATGACCCAAGATGTGAGAAAACATTTATAGCCTCTGGTTTTTAAACTGGAGAAGTTCAAGGATGTCATAGGATGTCTAGCGGCCCTCCCTGTCTTCCTCATATACCACTCAGCATAGATTACGTGGCACAATGTGATGCTATAATGAAATAAAATCCTAGTGACAGTGGACAATACCCGCCGATGCCTTCTCTTCACTTATTTTTGTTTCGTTGAATGAAAGGAAACACCACCTGCACATATCGTGAAGAGATGCTAGATGTTTTCACATCTGGCACACCAGGGTCACATGCCAGTTGTCTGAAAGCATTTTTCACCAATAAGAGTTGAGTGTCCCAGAGAACTGTGACCCCTCAGCCCTCCACCCCAAGAAGGTCCTCAGCACTCCCTAGTGAGGAGCACTTGCTGAGCCCACTGCCCGCCTTGGCTCTCCCTGTCTGTTCTCACCACTTGAGCTGCTGCTCCCCCAGGGAGCCTGGAGGATGAGGCCCCATGAAGCAGCGCCCTGGCCACAGCTTGCCTTCCCCAGGCCACCGGGCCTCACCTCGTAGAAGCCGCGCACCAGCGCCTCTGTCTGCTGTACCACGCCGCGTTCCACCCGCCACTTCACCATGCGCTCGATGTACTCCTTCTTGTTCTTCTCCGTCACCTGTGTGTTGGCTCCTCCAGACTTCAACTCCCTTTCCGTGACCTTGTAGGAAAACAGAAATATTGCAATGCTTGTCAGTTCAGCTTATCTCTCAGGGAGATGCTTGTCAGTTCAGCTTATCTCTCAGGGAGGCACACCTGTATACCAAAAATCCTCTACAGGGCATTATTTGGCATTATTACCCCTGGAGTCTTTTTTCCTTTCTCAAGGTCACTAAAAAGGCTCTGGCTGTTCTAAGCAGTTTGGAACACAGTGGTGCAATCATAGCTTATTGCAGCCCTGCATTCCTGGGAGCAAGTGATCCTCCTGCCTCAGCCTTCTGAGAAGATGGGATCACAGAGGCACCACTCTGCCTGGTTATCTTCCTTCTTTCTTCTTTCTTCTTCTTCTTGGTTTTTTTTCTTTTCTTTTTTTTTTTTTTTGTAGAATGTGGTCTATGTTGCCCAGGCTAGTCTTGAACTCCTGGCCTTAAGTGATCCTCCCAACTCCGAAATATTGGGATTACAAGCGTGAGACACTGCACCTGACCTCTAAACAGATTGTTATGCACCTTGGAAGGGCTACAGTTTTCGTTTTATACAGAGGAAACAGGTTTCCTATACTCAAGAGGCATGATGGAAATGAAAGGAAAATGTGCTAGGTTGTTCCCAATGGTGAAGCTGAATGTCTCAATGCTACAATCACATACTTGATGCCCCCAAATCTCAATGACAGCAAATTCTTAACAGCCATCAGCTTCCACTCCCACAGCTGGCCAGAAGACAGTAGGCTTCTGGCAGAGGGTGGGGTATAATATTACACAGCCAGGGCAGCCTGATCCTGGGAAGGGAACCAGAAGCACGTAGGCACACACAGCAAATGGCGCTGCCACTTGTGTGATAATGCATGTTTTGTTAGGACACGCTTGAGTCATCAGGGAAGGCTATGATCTGTGTGCCATCTTTCCACAGGCAAGAAGGTAGATAACATACTAGACATTAAAAAAAATCAAAATGTGTTCATGTGTAAAGGGGGTAATCTTCAGTCATCTTAAATTCACTTAAGCGTTCACTGAAATGCTCAATGCTGCAAGACAAATGAGGCATCACTGGATTTAGTTACTGGTTTAAAGAAAAAAATACTTGTATATTTGGCACTTGTGGACACACGTACCTAAACAAAACAGTCCATAAGTAATCTGATGGTTACCTTTTCTTTTATCACTTAGGTGATCAGTGCTAATTATAAAATATTGGCTAACAATGAAATACTTGTTACCACCCAGCATCCATATTCTTTGGGATGTCTGATTTTTAGCTGCCCAGTTAAAGACTTTATTTTCCAACCTCTTTCACAGCTAGGTGTGGCATGTAAGTAAATTCTGTCCAATGGGATGAAAGCAGAAGTGTTTGGCACTGTCAGGAGGCCTCCTTGAAGGGATGGGCTGTGTGTTCCTTTGTCCTGCTGCATTGAACACAGTCATGATGGTTGGGATGCTGTACTCATCTGGGCTAATAGTGCGGGGTGCCTATCCTAGTGATAGCAGTGGGGAGACCTGGAAGGAGCTTGATCCCTGAGGATTTTATCAAACAGCGCTTTTTTTGTTTTTGTTTTGAGACAGGGTCTCACTCTGTCACCCAGGCTGGAGGGCAGTGGTACAATCTTAGCTCTCTGCAAGCTCTCTCTCCCAGGCTCAAGCGATTCTCCCACCTCAGCCTCCCAACTAACCGGGACTACAGGCACATGCCACCACACCTGACTAATTTTCATTTTTAGTACAGACAGGATTTTGCCATGTTGATCAGATTGGTCTTGAGCTCCTGGCCTCAAGCGATCTACCCGCCTTGGCTTCCCAAAGTGCTAGGATTATAGGCATGAACCACCACACTCAGCCTAAACAGGGCTTTTATGTGAGAGAAAAAAAAAAGCTTCTATTAATTTCAACAGGGTCATTTTTGGCTTCTTCACTAGTAGCTGAATCTAATCCTAAAGCCTATGGTGTCTTTCACCTGCATCCCTCTGCTCTCCACTGTCTAACAACTTGACAAAAGAAGGGCTGCAATTCAATCTTCTAAAACCACTCATTGTTCTTGGTGACCTCCTTTTGAAGAGAAATGGGATAAACTTTAAACAGGTATACAGGTGACCCTTGAGCAACATGGATTTGAACTGCATGGGTCCACTTGTACATGGATTTTTTTCAATAAATATATTGGAAATTTTTTGGAGACTTACAACAATTTGAAAAAACTCGCAGATGGCCTGCATACCCAGAAAATTAATAGAAGCTTTTATAAAATGAAAAAAAGAGTTAGAAATGTCATGAGTCCATAAAATATATGTAGATAGTAGCCTATTTTTATCATTTACTAATACAAAATATACACAAATCTATTATTAAAAAGTTAAAATTTATGAAAACATACACACACAAACACTTAGAGCCTGTACATGGTGCCACTGGCAGTTGAGAGAAAAGCAAACTAACATAAAAATGCAGCATTAAATCACAACTGCATAAAATTAACGTAGTACATACTGTACTATTGTAATAATTTTGTAGCCACCTCCTGTTGTTTTTGCGATGAGCTCAAGTGTTGCTGATGAACAGCCTCTCTCCAGTAAACTGTGTATCACAGTAAAAAGTGATCTCTCTTGTTTACTGCATATTTTCCACTGTGTTTAAGTGCAATACCGTGAACTTTGAATAACATCATGGGACCCACACGAAGGGCCACTAATGATGCTGGAAGTAATCCCAAGAAGGAGAGAAAAATCATGATATTACAAGGGAAAATTGAATTGCTTGATAGGCACCATAGATTGAGGTCTGCAGATGTAGTTTCCTATCTTTTCAAAACAAATGAATCCAGCATAGGGGCCATTGTAAAAAAAGAAAAGGAAATTCATGAAGCCATCACTGCAGCTATGCCAGCAGGTGTGAAAACCTGGCACTTTTTGTGGAATACCTTTTTATATCATATTGAAAATACAGTTTTTTTTTTTTTCTCTGAGACAGAGTCTCGCTCTGTTGCCAGGCTGGAATGCAGTGGTGCAATCCCAGCTCGCTGCAATCTCTGCCTCCTGGGTTCAAGTGATTCTCCTGCCTCAGCCTCCGAGTAGCTGAGATTACAGGCACGTGTCACCATGCCCAGCTAATTTTTGTATTTTTAGTAGAGATGGGGTTTCACTATGTTTGCCAGGATGGTATTGAAATCTTGACCTTGTGATCCACCTGCTTTGGCATCCCAAAGTGCTAGGATTACAGGCATGAGCCACTGTGCTCGGCCAAAAACACAGCTTTTATGTGAGTGCAGTATTGCTAGAACAATGGCATACCTATAGACTCTAATATGATTCCAGAAAAAGCAAAGTCATTATATGATAACTCAAAGCAAAAGGAAGGTGAAGGATCTAAAGTTGGAAAATTTAATGCCAGCAAAGGATGGTTTGATAATTTTAGAAACAAGTTTGGTTGAAAAAAATGTCAAGATAAGAAGAGAAGCAGCTCGTGCTGACCAAGAGGCAGCAGACGAATTCCCAGACACCATTAAGAAAATCACTGAGGAGAAAAGATACCTGCCTGTACAGGTTTTTAATGCAGGTGAAAGTGCCCTGTTCTGGAAAAAAAGCACCACAAAGGACCTTTATTAGTAAGGAAGACAAGTAAGAACCAGGATTTAGGGCAGGAAGTGATAGGCTAACTCTACTGTTTTGTGCAAACACATTTGGATTCATGATCAGGATTGTCCTTATCCATTAAAGCTTTAACCCCCGAGCCTTGAAGAGAAAAGATAACACCAGCTGACAACAAGAAGGCCTGGATAATGAGAACGTCTCTTCTGGATTGGTTCTGTCAGTGCTTTGTTCCCGAAGTTAGGAAGTACCTTGCCAATAAGGGACTGCCTTTTAAAGTTTTTTTGATATTGGACAGTGCCCTTGGCCACCCAGAACCCCCTGAGTTCAACACCAAGGCATCAAAGTGGTCTACTTGCCCCCCAAAACAACATCTCTAATTCAGCCTTTAGATCAAGAGTCATAGGACCTTTAAGTCTCATTACGCAGGGCACTCTATGGAAAGGATGTCAACATTATGGATGACTTCAATAGAGAGAACATTGTGAAATTCTGGAAAAGTTATGCCACTGAAGATGTTATAGAAAAAGCCATGAAAGTCATCAAGCCCCAAACAATAAATTTCTGCTGGAGAAAACTGTGTCCACATGTTATGCATAACCTCCCAGGATTTATGACAGAGCCAATCAAGGAAATCATGAAAGAGATTGTAGATACAGGAAAAAAAAAAAAGTTGAGGGTAAAGGGTTTCAAGATATGGATCTTGGAGAAATTCAAGAGCTGATAGACACCATGCCAGAGGAACTAAAAGAAGATGACTTGACGGGGATGAGTGCTTCTGAACCAGTGCCAGGTGACGAGGAAGAAGATCTAGAAGAAGCAGTGCCAGAAAACAAATCGATGTTAGACAATCTGGCAGAAGGGTTCTGATTGGTTAAGACTGCTTTTGACTTCTTTTATGATAATGAACCTTTCTAGATATGGGCACTGAAACTAAAGCAAAGGATTGGTAGAAGAAGGATTGGTACTATATAGACACATTTTTAGAGAAACGAAAATGCAAAAACGACAGAAATTACAATGTATTTTCATAAAGTTACACCCAGTGTGCCTGCCTCTCCTGCCCCCTCTTTCACCTCTTCCACCCCTGAGACAGTAAGACCAAACCCTCATTTCCTGCTCCTCTTCAGCCTATTCAAAGTGAAGACAACCTTTATGATGATCCACTTCCATTCAATGAATAGAAAATATATTTTTTCTTCCTTATCATGTTCTTAATAACATTCTCTTTTCTCTGGCATTCCTTATTGTAAGAAGACAGTTTATAATAGCTATAACCTATAAAATATTTGTTAATTGACCATTTTTGTTATTAATAAGACTTCTAGTCAACAGTAGGCTACAAGTATTTAAGTTTTTGGAGAATCAAAAGTTATACATGAATTTTCAACTCTCCAGGAGTCAGCGCCCTAACCCTTGCATTTTGAAGGGTCAACTGTACATTATTCTAGATCTACAACACATCCTTATTTTTATCATTGGGAACATTTAAGCTTTTTTTCTAAGTTGTCGAGTTCCTACACTTCACACTAGAGGATTGTTCTTTTTTATCTTCAACTTTATTTGTTCCTCTAATTTTATGCATTCAGTTATTTGTAGTTGACTTTGTTTTCTTGAATATATAGTATATGACCATGGAATAAAATTCAAGTGGTATAGAAGGCCATAAAATGAAAAGTAAGTTTTTATCCCACTTAACCTCCCAGCCATGCATTCTCCCTTTCTGGAAACAGTCAACTCTACTTCCCTTCCAGGGAGATTCTATGCATATGCTGGGGAATGTATATATTTCAATTTAAAAACTTTTTAGAGATGGGGTCTTGCTATGTTGCCCAGGCTGGTCTTGAACTCCTGCCTTCAAGAGATCCTCCCACCTCCACCTCCCACAGTGCTGGGATTACAGGCGTGAGTCACTGTGCCTGACCAATATAAACTCTTTTTCCCTGTAAACAGTAGTGTGTTTTACACACTGTTCTTCACTGTCTTTTTTTTTTTTAATATATCTTAGAAATTTTTCATGACAATTTAGACCTGTGTTTTTCTTTCTTAATTGTTGTTAGTGTACCTGTTTATTGCTCATGATTATATGTGAATTTAGGGGCTGAGGTGTCCTCTTGCTTTTTAATAACCCCACATGATTTCACTACTCCACTTAGTAAATGTGTCATTTATTTAACCAGTGCTCTACTGCTGGACATTTAGACTGTTACAGATATTTTTCAACTATCAACAAGGCTGTGATGAAGATCCTAATATATTAGTAATTTCAATTAGGTGTTAATGTATCGGTAGGACAAATTTCTAGACATGTGTGCTGAGTCAAAGGCATGTGATTTAAAATATGAACTGATATCACCAAAGAGCCTTTCACAGAGAGTGAATCAAATTTCCACCTACAATGGACAGGAGGGTCTGTTTCTCTACACCATCCCAAAATACTGCTACATTTCTAATTCTTGATATTCTAATAAGGGAAAATGGTATCTCACTATAGCATTAATTTATTTTTAAAAATTGTAAATGAGATTATCTCCTTGTCTTTCCTTTTCTGGGAACTATCTATTTATATTCTTTGTGACTTTTCTATTAGGTTGTTGACTGATAATTTCATATTGATCTGTGGGATCTCTGATATTGAAAGAAATAGTCTTTATGTTATGTATTAAACATTGTGTCGCTTTCAGTTTGCCATGCAGAAATTTAAAAATAATATTTGACTATGTCAGATGACTTTTATGACTTTGAGAGTTTGTGCCATATCTGTATCAGCATTCTTTAGTGCAAGATTAAAGATAAAAATGATCTCTTTTTTCCTTTTTTTTTAATTTAAATTTTTACAGTCAGGTTTCTGATCCAGCTGGAATTTATTTAGTGTAATGAGTTAGGTTAGGAATCTAACTTAAAACTTTTACAGATGGCTACCCAGTTGTCTTAATACAATTGTGTGTATTGTACAAATTTACGCTCTACAATTAGGCATATGTGAAAGATGGGCTAAAAGTAGTCATGCACAGAGAACAGTGTATTTTGCCTGTTCAATGAGTACATGGCAGGAAAGTTAAATGAGTAGCTTTTTTTTTTTTTTTTTGAGATGCAGTTTTGCTCTTGTCACCCAGGCTGGAGTGCAATGACGTGATCTAGGCTCACTGTAACTGCCACCTCCCAGGTTCAAAAGATTCTCCTGTCTCAGCCTCCCAAGTAGCTGGGATTACAGGTGTCTGCCACCATGCCCAGCTAATTTTTGTATTTTTAATAGAGACGGGGTTTCACTGTGTTGGCCAGGCTGTTCTCGAACTCCTGACCTCAGGTAATCTGCCCACTTCAGCCTCCCAAAGTGCTGGCATTACAGGCATGAGCCACTGTGCCCAGCCATGAGTAGCATATTCTTGAACATATTTAAATGTGCTCTCCAGAGTTGCAGAAAGAAATATTTTTTTCCTCAAGTATGTAACAGCATTCTTCAGAGGCATGTTTTTACAGAGGAAATACAGCAGAATGTTGATGTTTCCAGGACCTATCCAAGATTCTTGACTGGGATGTGGGTGCTCGGTGGCCTGCAGCATTCATTCATTCTCATGCAGCGACCCAGTGCACTGTCCACATTGATGGGAGGCACCTCTGAAGCATTCTGACTCAACTATCACAACAACTCTGTTACGAATTACCATATGTCACGGGCTTTACATCCAGAAAATGAGGTTCGCCAAACCTTGTTTGTTAAATCTACTCAGGCTATGGTTATTTTTTGTTAAAACTGTAGGCCATTTGATCAGAAGATTTGATGTTATATAAATGCTAGTAGAAAGCAAATGGGAAACTTTATCTTATTATTTAGTGTTGAGATATATGTATTTTGGAGGAGTAGCTATCTGGATGTGATAGAATCATTTCTGTAATGGCACAGATAACAGAAATATCTGATATATGTATGGCATACTTCACAAAAATGCTTTCTAATCCATTATCATATCTGATTTTCAAAGAACTACATAAAGTAGATCCATGTCATAACAAGAAAAAGAAGAAAGAGGACATGGGCAGATTTATTAAAGGAAGTGGTTCCCAAGGAATTGGTTTGAATGAATGAGATCCCATATTTGCTAATTTAAAAACGAAATCCCATTACCGCACGATCTAGCAATCCCACTTCTGTGTATATATCCAAAAGAATTGATATATACAGCAGGGACTTGAACAGATATTTGTACACTCACGTTCATAGCAGCATGATTCACCATAGCCAAAATGTGGAAAAAACCCAGGTGTTCATCAACAGACAAATGGATGAATGGATAAACAAAATATGGCATATATGTATATATATTTGTTTATACATATAATATATACACATTATGAAATATTTTTCCGCTTTAAAAAGGAAGGAATATTTTATATATATAAAGGAAGAATACTATGTATATTTGTATATGTATGTGTGTATACATATATATCTATATAATGAAATATTATTTAGCCTTAAAAAGGAAGGAAATTTGGACACATGCTACAACACGGATGAGCCTTGAGGACATTACGCTAAGTGAAATAAGTCAGCCACAAAAAGACAAATATTGTATAATTCCACTTATATGAAGTATCTAGAGTAGTCAGATTCATAGAAACAGAAAATAGAATGGTAGTTGCCAGGAGTTGTGGGTAGGAGAAATGGAAAGTTATTGTTTAATGAGTAGAGTTTCTATTTTGCAAGATGAAAAAGTTCTGGAGATTGGATGCCCAACAATGTGGATAGACTGAAGCACTGAAGTCTACACTTAAAAGTGATTAAGATGATAAATTTCATGCTATGTGTATTTTCCATAGTAAAAACCAAAATCCCTTTTCCAAGCTCCATATCACACAAACCTGTCCAAAAACCTCTTCATTAACGGTGAAAGTGAGGTCTAGGATGTCTGTGATGTTGTTGTCCTTCATCCACTGCAAGCTCTGGTGGAATTCCTCATCCAAATATTCCAGGTCACTCAAATCACAGGGCCTGGGTGAATTCAGTGAGAAAGGCAAACAGAATTACTGAACAAATGGCTACCCAGACCTCACTTCAAAATGTAGTTATATCATTCCTGGCTAAAACGTCCAGACTTATCCTAACAATTTGATACTTTTGAATACACTAATGAATCAGACCATTCAGTCATTTCAGTTCATTCAAATGATTTTCCTTTGAAAAGAAAATGTGAAATTGTTTACAATAACAAACACGAAATAATTATTGACTCATGGACTCTGCATGAAAATTGAAGAAAACTATCATTTTAAAACAACTACGTTACAAACTGATCAGTTCTACTTAACAGTTTAATGCAATGTTTGTAATATTATTATAATTTTTATATAAAATGATTCATCTCCATGATAAGACATTCTGATAATAGAATCTTCCCCTACAACAACAACAACAACAACAACAACAAAATCCCCAAATGTCTTTTTATTGTGCTAAAGAATGTATATGATATCTAAGCACTCAGAACAGGAAGCCACCATAGCCCTAACAGGAATGGTTAGGGCAAAACAGGGACAAAAGGGTCAGTGGCACCAGAGAGGTCGGTGTCGTTGCCCTGCAGACAGGGCTGGGGTGGAAGCGTGGTCTGCAAAGCACTTACAGTCTCAGGAGTGCCTTGTAGAAGGGCCTCGTGAAGAAGGCGTCAAGAAGGTACTGATGGATCAGAGCCAGGCCCAGGATGCGACCGCTAAACCTGAACCTGGAACACAGACAAGGCAGAGAAATGGATAAGTGGAAATTTACGTTATTAAATATTTTAGTTTGCACTTTTATCTGATGTGTTTCTTTTGAGTATTCATCTCAAGTTGCTTAAGGAATCTTCTCATTGATGACGCAAGGAGGTGCCTGTTCTCCTCCTTATGCTTTACCATGAACAATGCCTGTGTGCTTGCTAGGTACTAAAGGAAGCCTCCTCTCCCCACCATGTAGCAGACTCGAGTCATTTTTTCAGAACCTTTTTCAGACCTGGGAGAATGAGGACCCAAGAAGAGGAAAGCACTGGGAAGGGGAATTCAGGAATCTTAGATAAAACGCCCACACCGAACTGGAGGAGGACCTGGATCCAGTGACACAGAGGGCTTTCTGGATGTGCGTCCTTACCCATTCAAACATTTTATCTACATTACCTAAGGTCCATGCTTGAGTATGGAGCCCATATGGCAGTTGTGCTTGCAGACAGTGGGGAAGAGTTACATAGAATCCCAACATGGTAAGAGATAAGCTGAATGAGCATCACTCTTCAAAATTGCCAGCCACATAAAAGACAGAATGAGGTCACTGCTAGGAAGAACTGGCCATACAGATCTGGCCACCTCCAGATGTAAGTGCCTTTACTGATTTAAATCCTTGTCGGAGCATGGACTTCCTGAGCATTTTGCAAGTAACCTGCTTAGCAAAATGCTGAGGCTACCTGGGCTTGATTCCATTGTTGCCTGCTCCTAAACCAGCTTCTTGCCTGCCTGGTCTAGCACCCTATGCTTTCCCCACCATGTGGGCCTTGCCTATCTCTGACACCTACTTTCATAACTGGAGTCTCCCTGGTGTCCACTCTAAGTAGGTTCTCACCTAATCAGGGATTTAGTTGTGAATTTTCTCCGATCCTCCCTGTCAGAATTTCCAACTAATCTATCTCCAATGCCTTTTATGTGGGTCTTTTTAGACTCACGGGGTTTCCTACTCTATAGCTGCTATAAAGATGGTAAAATGAACAGAATATCTGATTCCATAGAATACCTATATTTATAAAAACACTTCAAATTGGTATGTTTGAAGTAGTTGATTCTTTTTCCGTGAAATAACATGCTAGTGTTATTGACTCTGAAGAGACCAGAGGCAAAAACAAAACCTCAGTGAAAGTGCTATGGGGCACTATGGATAGGGGGCTTCTGGGACAATGGGTCGTTGGGCTTGGGTACCCCACCACTGCTTCATTCCTGGGTGCCCTTTCCTGACCACCCCAATAACTGACTGGTCCCCAAGACAGTAACCACATCCTGTGTATAAAAACAGTTATCTTCTACCCCAATAGAAGATTGGCTCACCTACTCCAAATAGACTCTAGGGCATTGTAACCCATGCTTCTAACATGATAGTAGGGTTGTGGCCATCTAGGTAGAGATGACCGAGATGATCCAAACCAGGAAAAGACTAAAGGTCAGCACAGAAGTGATGGGCCCGTGGCTTCCCCACTTAGAGGTGGCCCCTGAGGGTCCAGTAAAGAGAGCTGGGAATCATAGCAGGGAGCAAATATATGCAGATATGGAATAAATGATAACATTAAATGAGATTACTATTTTCAGCTTAGTGCTAAAAAATTGAATATCTCAATGAATTAAAAATTTTCTAGCAAAATAAAAATTATTCAAATTTATTCAGGAAGATGTAGAAAACTTAGACCGATAACCATAGTGCCAAGTAGAAAATTTTGAGGAGAAAGGACTATCTCCAAAATTGATACTGGGACTGGATATATATATTTTTAAAGACATGTTCTTTCAAAGACTCAAGGACAGAAAACCTTTCTGCTATTTCAACAGTTCCAGAAATCAGAAAAGGGTGGAAAACGTCTTAATCCATCATTATGAGCTACCATAACCACAAAGTGGAACCTGGAAAAGATAAAACAAGAAAGAAAACTAGAGAAATTTCACTTGTACATAAATCCTAAACAAACACAAGAGAATTGAACCTACTAGTTCATTTCCAGAACAATGAAGAATGATTAAGGATGTTTAATTAGACAACTAAGGATATTCAATATTAAGAATTTTATTACTAAAATCAAGTATAAGGTCAAAAGACAAAAATTATATGACTTTTTTTTGGGTTACAAACTGGACAGTTACTTGAAAATATCCATCACCAATTTCTGGAGAAAAAAAAAACCTTTGTAGTAAACCAGCAATAGAAGAATGCTTCCTTAACAAAACAAAGCACATCTATCTCAGCAATATATTTAACAGTAAAAATACCGAAGGATGCTTGTTACTACCACTCTTCATAATATTCTATCAGTTCTAGTCACTGCAGTTAATTATAAACGAAAAATTGAAAACAGATTAGAAGTAACTTTTATCAAATGCCTACTGGGCCAAGGCACGTTATTTACAATATCTCACTGACCCTTGCAACAATTCTATTTTATTGTTTTGGTCATCTCCATTTTGCAGATTAAGAAACTGAGGGCCAGTAATTAGCCCCAGCCAAGTGGTTCAGCAAGGAAACTGAACCACATCTGCCTGACACCAAACCAGGCCTTTTCCTTTGTGTCTATTTTGAGATGTGAGCGATGGAGAGGTTGCTCCTCTGGGTTCTGGGGCCAGGCTGCCTACTGTGTGATCTTGTGCAAGCGTTTAACCTCCCTCTTCTCAGTTTCTTGTTCTGGAAAACTTCACTATTTAAGTGTTACCTATTTTTGCTATTAGTATTTTATGTTGGCTACCAACATCTCTTGTGCTAATTAGACATATTTTGGTTCAGGTAACTTTCAACCAGCTTACGCCCTCTAAGGCCATGGCGGTGTCTCAAGGAATCCAGGATCAGGAATGCAGTTGGGCCTCAGGAACACCAGGGACATGAGTGATATTGCTCTCCCTCATCCAGTTTCTCCCTTTGGCTTCTCTAAGCTCATTTCTCCTCTCTCACTGCCAACACCTCCTATGGTTTACATCCCAGAGTTCAAGCACAGGAGACACCAACTTGACTCCCTCTGACCTAGTTCTAAATTTTCAGCATGATTCTGACTGTTCTAACTCAGGTTGGATGCCCACTGGGATCAATCATGAGCAACCAGGGAGGAAATCTGAGTCTCGAGTACTTTGCAGCAAGGACCACTTTGCAGCAAGGATCACTCTCTACCAGGGAGTGGGATCACTGTTGTATGTCTCTCAACCAGGGAGTGTGGCAATGGGGTTTCCTAGCACAGGGGACTGCAGCGCAGACTGCCAACAGAGAATTGTGTATTTGCTTTGAATTGGGTAGACCATAAGGTGGAATTTCCAAAGTCAGAATTACACTGGTTTCAAGGACTGACATGGGCAACAAACAAGTCCTAGTTTATTTTTAAGTAACTGTGCAACAAAGCTATGATAACGTGGTTTGGCTTTACATAACCACAGACGGGATGGCTCTAAGCCAGTCCCATATGTACTGTAAAATATATTCCAGAGCCACGAACTATGATCTGGGACATGTTTGTATAAAGCAAAATACAGCAACTGTACAATTCAAATCTAAAACAATAGCAGATGGAAAAAAAAAAAAACAAAACAACAATAGCTGATGAATTGCTGTGTGTGCAATTCCATAAATGAGAAAACACCTTCTAGTAATGGTGCACCTCCTTTATTTATCTTCTATATTTATCTCCCCTAAACTAAACAATTGCTTGTGGGGAAGTTGATTACATTTGCTGTTAACACAGGTTACAAAAGGAGAGGAAGTATGAGACAGAAAGAAAATACTTTTCCTTAGTCTCTGGACCTAAGATAGTGTGTCTAGGTATGAAGAAACTATCCCAGTAATTTAAGCAAAATAAAGTGCTGAGGTTTCGAGCTAAGTTACTTGGGGTAAATAGAGTCCAGAGGATAAACTAAAATAAGACCCTATAGAAGTAGCGGAGCCACTCCGCCTGCCTGTGGGTGTGTCTGTTACTTAAATACCCGGCCCCAGGGCCCCGTTCGAGAGCCTGTGTGTGTGAGCTTGCAGGGCTTTGCTCACTCCTTTCTCTCCGTGGATCTCAGGAGTCTCGACCGATACTGCAGGCCAGCCTAGCTCCTGGGGTGTAGCACTGCTCCCCGCTTTTTCTGTGCTGACATTCTGGAGGCCATGCTTGAACGCAGCTTCTGCCGCCTCAGCCTCGGCAACTCAGCATGTCACGACGTGCTGCCTGTGCTGGTGCCGCCGCTGCCCGACCAGGCTGCGGCTCCGCATCTGTGCTTTTTCCTGGCCCGTGCTCAGTTTTACTTTGCCAGGAGGGAGTGGCTCCTCCGTGTTGTCCTGCTTTCTTAGAGGGGCCTTGCAGAGGAGTTGCCTGGGCCCTAAGAGCTTACAGGGACTGCTTTTGAAGCTTGCTCACGTCCTTTAATCCCTAGGGCAACCAGGGCCTGGTGGGTGGAGGGAACAGCTACCACGTTCACCTCTATCCCTCAGGCCCTGTTGGGCACCCCGGCTCCCTAGGCCATTCTTCTGCTTCTCGTGGGGGCTACTGTATCTTAAGGGCCCCCAGGTTCCCTGCTCAAAATCTGCTTTCTGCCATTTCCCACGTGTGTCTAAGTTCCAACCATGGGTGCCCTTCAACTCCTCTTCACAAGAGAGACCTCAGCCCCCAGGTACCCAGCAGGTGCACATGCACACAGGGCTGAGGAGAGGAGGCAAGGCGGGTCAGCCCATGCAGCCTCCCAGCAGCGGGTGGTGGGTCCCAGCCTTTTCCCCATTCTAGCCACACCCGGATGGGTCAGGAAGGGAGCCTCCCCTGGGCAGTGAAGGGGCGTGAGTCTCTCTCTCTGGCAATGTTTTTGCTGTAATTTGAAACCTCCCAGGAGATTCTGACATGCCATCACCATAAAACATATTCCTGACTTTTAAGAAACACATAAAGCATATTTTTCTACTTATTTATCAATTAGAGATGTGTTTCCACCCATTTAGACCTGAGACCACAGAAAGATTAGCAATATAGCAAAATACCGAGAACCCACA